CACAAAATCCAGAATTTATAATTAAAATTTACCTCATTGTCCTGCTTTTCGTCATTGAACATATCATCATCTATATCACTACCTGTGCCTTCAATTGCAAGAATACTATTCCTGATGGAAGGAATCATGTATAGCTGCTGGATCACAGAATTCATGTAACAAGTAGCACCAGCATTTTTGAGTCCCACAAATCCTTTTGGTGGGCGAGGGCCAACAGGTGGTAGATATTCCCACTCAGTAAGTGCTTCACAACCTGAGAGAAAAAGAAAAAAAGTTTCTCAAAACATGAACGTGATTTTGTCCACTGGCAGCTCTGTTGTGCCGACAAATATTGGTAAGAAATGATCACTACTACTAGACTCTGTGAAAAAGAACTCTCCATTTCCCCCCTAATAATGTGTCACTGAAGTACAGAACTATTTGATTAGTCTGTATTTTTATTGATATGCTTTCATGACAACCTTCATATAAAGTCATATGGGTAATATAACATTAATTTTTTTGTGTGCCATCATAGGTTTACTTTATATATTTAACTAGTTGCATTCAATTCATTGGTGTCAGAACGTAAAATAAATAAAAATGTTTCATCTCAATCAAAATGTTATACTTCATATTTTAATTACATGTTCAAGTTATTTAAAACTGTTTATATTCAAGTAAGGGTCCCATTGACAAAAACTATAATCCTAAGGTGAGTATCTATTGTAGGGGTAGGATTGCTTCCCTGTGGTTGTGAAGGCCTGTAAATCATTTGGTTTGGCACTGACAAAATATTAGGGGTGCGTTAACAAAATGTTTGACCTAATGTAGCAGGCTTATTTTTAAAGTGGATAATTTTGTATAGGCTGAGAATCCTAGCTAATAAAAGTAATATGCAAATTGACCATCACTCAAACACACAAGATGGCTGCCCCCATGTGGTCAAAGATGGCCACCCCATGTGGACACAGATTGCCGCCAGAAGATGTCCAGCAGGGGAGGGACCAGGCCTGCAAGGCAGGGCAGTTGGGGGTGATCAGGCCAGTAGGGAGGGCAAATGGGAGGGGCCAGGCATACAAGGGAGGGCAGTTGGGGGCAATTAAGCCTGCAGGAAATGGCACTTAGATGTGACCAGTCTGTCAGAGAAGGAAAGTTGGGGGCAACCAGGCTAGCAGGTAAGAGCAATTGGGGAGGGAAGGGGGGACCTAGGACTGAAGGGGAGAACAGTTGGGCGGGACCAAGCCTGCAGGGGAGGGCACTTAGGGGTGACCAGGCCTGCAGGAGAGGACACTTAGGGGAAAACAGGCTGGCAGGGGAGCAGTTAAGCATCAATCAGGCTGGCAGGTGAATTAGGGATGATCAGGTTGGGAGGCAGAAGCGGTTAGGTGCAATTAGGAAGGCGAACAGTTGGGAGCCAGCAGTCCTTGATTGTGAGAGGGAGTCTGAATACCCGATCCTACTGGATCAGACCTAAATAGGCAGTTGGAAATCCCCCAAGGGATCCATATTGGAGAGGGGGAAGGCTGAGCTGAGACACAAAACCCCCGTGCATGAATTTCATGCAGTGGGCCTTTAGTCTGTATTATAAAAAGCATGTGGCTGTAATACCATAATGACCAAACAACAGGTCATCAGGAGTTGTACTGATGGGTCCTGCGGTAGCGGCAGGAGGGACTCTGGATACCACAGAGGTGGTGCGGCAGGTCTGGGTCCTTTGGTGGTAGCGCAACAGGAAGGCGGAGCTGCTAACAGGACAATAAGCCCTGGGCTTCTAGTGATGTTATAAATATCCAAATGGCCCTCCTGATTTTGTCTTCTGTATAAATGCAAAATCTGGTTTTCATACACCCAGTGTTATTTTAAGGAGTAAATGAAATAGTGTATTTAAAAGATATGTAAGAACTATGTATCACTTTATACCAAGTTCCAATTACCATAAAACCAAACAACATAAACATGAACCACTTAATAGTAAATATTGAACTGCAAACTGTATCCTATATAATAATAAAGGGACACTGTAACAATAACAATCAATGTGCGAACATTAGAGTGCATTCATACTATACAAAAATAGTATAACCTACTACACACCTGGGCCACATTATAGCCTATTGCTCCTACATGACCTGTATACCATGAATACTCAATACTGAAACACAATGCTAAATATGTATCGTTCTAAACATATAAAAATTCAGGAAATAAAGGAAGCAAAAGAAAATGGTACACTTGTACAGGGTTCATTACCATGAATGAAAACGCAAGACTGGAGTAGCTCTCAGTGAGCCAGGAAGTGGGTGGTGAATAAATGTGAAGGCTTAGCATACTACTGTATACTATCATCGACTTTATAAACATTGTACACTGAGAACCATGGGTCACCAGGATTGGTTTATTTATTTATTTTTATTTTTTTAATATATATTTTATTGATTTTTTACAGAGAGGAAGAGAGAGGGATAGAGTGTTAGAAACATCGATGAGACAGAACCATCGATCAGCTGCCTCCTGCACACCTCCTACTGGGAATGTGCTTGCAACCAATGTACATGCCCTTGACCGGAATCGAACCTGGGACTTACAGTCCACAGGCCAATGCTCTATCCACTCAGCCAAACCAGTCAGGACTATTTTATGTTCTCTTCAATAAATTAACTTAATGTAAATTTTATTTTACAAACTTTAAAAATTTAAAAAGTTTGAACTCTTAATATTTAGCTTAAGAGATATTGTGCACTGTACAAAATATTTTTATGTCCTTATTTTGTAGGCTGTTTTCTATTAAAAAATCTATAATAATAAAAGGGTAATATATTAATTAGACTGGACATTTTTCCAGACATCATTCCTGACGAAACCAGGGCTGGAGGGAAGCCAGCCTGGATCTTAGATGCCTGTAGGCAGCTTGAGAAGAGAAGCAGCCTGAGTCCTGGGTGCCTGCTGGCGGCCCAAGGAGGGAAATTCGAGTCTTGGGTTTGGAGAGAAGCTGTAGCCAGGGGAGGGAAGTTCTACACCCTTGCACAACAATTTTTATGCACTGGGCCTCCAGTATTAAGTAAAAAACATATTTCATGATAAACTAAGACACAACTAACCCCACACACCCTAGCCTACTCGTGAGAGGGTTAGAATCATCAATACACTGTCTTTCACCTTCACATCTTTTCTTACTGGAAGGTCTTCAGGGAAGTAACACAAGGAACTGTCATATCCTTTGGTAATAGCACTTTTTCCTATAAGACCTCCTGAAGAACCTATATGAGGCATTAGGAGGTGCCATTCTTTGAAAATATGTCTAAGGTGATTTGCTTGGTTTCTTTAATTCATGACAGATTTTGCCTGTAAGTACATAGATAATGCTATATTCCTATCTGAATCTGAAAACTTTTCAGTACTGGTTTCCAAGTTTTCATGCATTTTAAGCTAGTAAATAAGGCCTACAAAAACTGCTAAACCCTTCACTGTGAATTTTCTTGGGGATTCTTTTTTCTGTTCTTTTGCAGGGTCCTTTTTCTTGCCTCTTTAGTTATGTGTTCCTATTCCTGTTTTGAACCACCTCTAGGATATTCTGTGCCAGCCTCATCTACACCTATGTTAAGGTTGTTTGCAATGACAAGCAAGGCCTTGTTGATTTTTGCAACCATCTTATCCTTGACAAAGCCTTTGAAGTCATGGAGCAATCTCTCTTAGTGTGCTCCCGTATGACATTCATATACTTCTTAGTGACATCACTCCAAGGTCAAGCAAGGTTATTTTTTATTTTATTTTATATAACAAATCTTTATTATTCGATTACAGGTGTTCCTCTCCCCACCAATAGCTCCCCTCCACCCGATTCCCCACCCCACCCACTGTCTTCATCCATAGATGTAAGATTTTTGTCCAATTTCTTCCTGCACCTCTCAGACCCCCTTCCTCCTGAGAATTGTAAGTCCACTCCCTTTCTATGTCCCTGATCCTATTATATTCATCAGTCCATTCTGTTCTTCAAATTTTTTATTCACTTGATTTTTTAAAAATATATATATTTTATTGATTTTTTTTTACAAAGAGGAAGGGAGAGAGATACAGAGTAGAGAGATAGAAACATAGATGAGAGTCATCGATCAGCTGCCTCTTGCACGCCCCCTACTGGGGATGTGCCTGCAATCAAGGTACATGCCCTTGACTGGAATTGATCCCGGGACCTTTCAGTCCGCAGGCCGACGCTCTATTCACTGAGCCAAACCAGTTTCGGCTATTCACTTGATTTTTAGATTCACTTGTTGGTAGGTATGTATTTGATGTCTTTTTGTTGTTCATAGTTTTTATCTTTACCTTTTTCTCCTTCTTCCTCTTCTTAAAGAATACCCTTCAGCATTTCATGTAATCCTGGTTTGGTGGCAATGAACTCCTTTAGTTTTCTCTTGTCTGTGAGGCTCTTTATCTGACCTTCAATTCTGAAATGATAGCTTTGCTGGGTAGAGTAATCTTGGTTGTAGGTTCTTGCTGTCATCACTTTAAGTATTTCTTGCCAATCCTTTCTGGCCTGCATTGTTTTTGTTGAGAAATCAGCTGACAGTCAGATGGTACTCCCTTGTTTTTCTCTTGCTGCTTTCAAGGTTCTCTCTTTTGTCTTTTGCCCTTGGCATTTTAATGTGTGTCGGTGTGGTCTTCTTTGAATTCCTCTTGTTTGGGGTTCTGTGGGCTTCCTGGACTTATAAGTCTATTTCTTTCACCGGGTAGGGAAAGTTTTGTCTTTATTTCTTTCAATAGGCCTTCAATATCTTGCTCCCTCTCGCTTTCTGACACCCCCAAAATCCAGATATTGGTACGCTTAAAGCCGTCCAAAAGGCTCCTTACACTATCCTCACACTTTTGGATTATTCTTTCTTTCTGCCTCCCAGGTTGGGTGTTTTTTGTTTCCTCATATTCCAGATCTTTGGTTTGATTCTTAGGATACATTTATCTACAGTTGAGTTTCTTTTTCTATTCTTTTCTTTTTTGTTTTGGATGGAAAGCTGATTTATTGGTGGCTGTAAGGTGGGAACAGCACCGAGACACTCAAGAGTGCAGGGCTCGCCATTTGTCTAAGGGACTGAGATTAGGGATGTATTTGACTCCACAGTCATCTGGGATGAGGCGCTTCTTGGCCACCATGTCTTCAAACTCATTTGCATTAAACTTAGTAAAGCCCCACTTCTTGGAGATGTGGATCTTCTGGAGGCCAGGGAATTTGAACTTGGCTCTGCACAGGGCCTCAACCACATGCTCCTTGTTCTGCAGCTTGGTGCAGATGGACATGATGACTTGGCCAATGTGGACTCTGGCCACTGTGCCTTGGGGCTTTCCAAAGGCACCCCCCTCCTCCCCGCATACCTGTTTGGAGCCCATCAGCTCCAGCACAGGACAACATCTTGCTGAGGCAGATGGCGTGGAAGGGGTGGAGTCGCACTCGGATGTGAAAGCCATTTTGCCACAATTTTTCACTATGTACTTGGCACAAATACGGGCAGCCTCCAGGGCTTAGGAGGAGAGCTGCTCATATTTGTCTGACACCATGTGGCCACAGAGTGGGAACTCATCCACTTTAGCCTTCTTCTGCCCCAGATCAAAGATGTGGATCTTGGCATCAGGGACACCTCGCCAGAAGCCAGACTTTGGGTATAGCTTGTTCTTACAATACCAGTAACACTGGGCTGGGCGGCAACCGATGTCGACACCACGATCTTCAGTGGCACGCCGACCGATGGCGACACCACGATCTTCAGTGGCAAGCCGAAGGGAAAAGGTATAGTTGATTTGTGTATATTCTTTATTTCAGACAGTGTATGTTTAACTTCTAACCTTTTTCATTCATTCATTCATTTATTCATTTATTTATTTATTTATTTTGCATTTTCAGTAAGGTCCTTGAAGGTCTCGTCAAGTTGCTCAGTGGTTTTTAGAAGATTCTTGAGTAACCTTATAAATGTGATTGTGAACTCTATGTCATCCAGTAGTTTACTCCATCTGTCCCTTTTGTGACATGCTTCTGTGTCTCTGCATCTGGCTGCCTCCCTGTGTTGATGGAGTGGCTTTGTGTGGTTGGTGACCTATAGGGGCCAGTGGCTCAGCTTCCCTAATCACCCGAGGTGGTTGCTCTTGGTACACCCTTTTGTGGGCTCAGTGCAAAGTGTTGGTTTAGTTAAGCCTTGATTGCTGTTGGTGCACTTGGAGGAATTGATCTCCAGGCCCATTGGCTGTGAGGACCTGCAGTGACAATGGAAGAGCTGCTGCGCTGCAGACACGCTTATGGTGCAGGCCTTTTTTCAGTGGGGCTTTGGTGCTCATTGAGTCTGCCTCCCGAATGTGATTTATGGATGTGAGGAGTTGAAATCTGGTGTCTTACACTGACATTAGGTACACTGGCTTCTGGATCTCCAATGGGGTGAAGTTCAGCTACTGTCTGAGGCCACCCTGTAGGAACTACAGTGAGAACCACAGTTCTCTCCTGCCTGCTTGAAGCTTGGACATTTTGGAGCTGTCTGCACCAGGTTGCAAGTTTGCTAGGTTAAACTGCAATAAAGAAGGCCATTGCTTGGAGCTTGTGTGTGTTTATATATTGTGTGGGGTGGAGTCTCAGGGCATTACAAGGCTAGAGTGTGCAAACAGCGATGGCTACCAATCAGCTGTCTGTGCCTCTCTGACAATATCCCCGCATCTTGCTCCCTAGCATAGCAAATACTTATTCTTGTGTGCAGCTCTGCAAGCAAGCCACCTTCGCTTTCCGACCCGATGGCAGGCAGTATTGTTTCTCCCCAGAAAATGGATTTCAGAGAGATTGGGAGCTTGTCTCTCTTCGGGTTGAAGAAAGCAACACCCTTCGCCAGCCAGGCTCCGCTCCCAGCCCATATTGCACACATGGCCCCATACCTTAGTTTTTCAGCACTTGTGCCCTGAAAGCTCCGTTCTCTTTCAGTCTAGTTGTAGAGCTTCCATTCGGCCAGTTTTCCTGTGATTCTGAGTGACAGACATTTAGTTTTTTAGTTGTAGTTTTGAAATTGTAGTGCATGGCAGGAGTTTAGGTGTGTTTTCCTAAGCCACCATCTTGGATCCTCTGCCCAAGCAAGGTTTTCGATGCCTTTGATATTTTAATGATTGTAGTTTTTCCCAAATACACCAGTGTTTTCTTCAATTGCACCAATAGCCTAGGCAAAGTTCCTTTGGTTCCTATAAATGCTTTACAGGTGGAAGGAATAGATCTAAGTGGGAATTCAAAACTGTTATACTAGTAAGTCCTTGATCCATTGATTGGATCAAAGAGATGGTGTTTGGAGGATGAAACATCAGCTTGATTTTGAGATTAAGATCCCAATAAAAACAGTATTATCGCCAGTAGATAGAGTGTCCGCCTGCAGAAAGGTCCCAGGTTCGATTCCAGTCAAGGGCACGTACCTTGGTTTCGGGCACATCCCTAGTAGGGGGCATGCAGGAGGCAGCTGATCAATGTTTCTGACTATCTCTCTCTCCCTCCTCTGTAAATCAATTAAATATATTAAACAACAACAACAACAAAAAACACCACAGTTTTATCAAGCAAAACAAAAACAGTGTTATCAAGCAAAATCTTGAAAGTATGCCATCTTCGAAACAGAACTCCACTTTGCTGGCACACCAATTCAGGAGAGAATCTAAAAAAAGCTGAGCAATTATAAGTTCGTTTTGTTCCTGTAGTATACTGACTGTGTTTATTGACATGCTTGAAAACCCTGGGTTCTTACTGAACCAGCTCACAAAGGGTTTTCATTTTGTAGCTTGCAGTATTGCATCCAAGCAAGAATTTTCTGACCTTAAAGGCTTTGAAACCTGCCACTGACTTGGACTCCTTATGGATAAAAGTCCCCTTAGACAATTGGTTCCAGAACAGGGAGGTTTCATTCACATTGAATTTTTGCTCTGGCAAATAATTTTCTCCCACAATGAGCTTATCTAGAATTTAAAAAAGTCCTTCAGCAGTCTTTATAGTAATAATTGGTGACTCATCACTTTCACACTTTATAAATAACTATTCTTGAATTGTTCAAATCATGCAGAGCTACTGTATATTAAAATTGTAGTTGAGTATTGCCTTTTCTTTTGACATTGCAAACAACATTTTTGATTTGGCTTTAACCATCATGTGTGCTCACAGAGATATGCTTCTGTGATTGTTTTTTTATCCAGGTCACTAAAAGTTTTTGACAGTCTTGTCTTCATGAAGTAGATCATTAACACCTTCTATCATTTGTTCCTGTTCTTTAAAATAGCTTTGGCAGAATGGGACATTATTGATTTTAAGCAATAATCATCACTGAATTTCTACTTTTATCATCCTTAATTACATTTCAGAACAAATTTAATTTTGTTTAGATGTGGCTTCTCACTGATAACATTAGCAGATTTTGTACACTTAGGAGACATGGTAATAAAAAGTTAATTAAGCACAAGAAAAAATGATGCAATTAATGTTATTTGATATAAGAAAGTTTTAATCATGTTTCAGGAGTTTCTAACTAAATTTGATAAACATGATCTTGCCAAAACCGGTTTGGCTCAGTAGATAGAGTGTCAGCTTGAGGACTGAAAGGTACCGGGTTCGATTCCAGTCAAGGGCATGTACTTTGGTTGCGGGCACATCCCCAATAGGGGGTGTGCAAGAGGCAGCTGATCAATAATTCTCTCTCATCGATGTTTCTAATTCTCTATCCCTCTCTCTTCCTCTCTGTAAAAAAAATCAATAAAACATATATAAAAAAATAAATTTGATAAACATGATCAAATATTTATGTATAAGTTAGCTGACATGTTTCATAGCGTTTTGTTTTTATTTTTTGTTTCAGAGAGCAAGAAAGACAGAGAAAAAGGCAGAAACATCAATGATGAGAGAATCATGGATCGGTTATCTCCTATACACCCCATTCTGGGGATCAAGCCAGTAACGTGGGCATGTGCTTTGAAATGGAATTGAGCACTGACCTCCTAATTAATAGGTTAATGCTCAATCACTGTGTTATGCTGGCTGGCCATAGCCAACTGTTTTTTGTTTTGTATGTGCTATACTTTTATATGACACAGTTAGTTTATTTACATAGCATTACCCAAGGTAATGACTTACATCATGATATCATGAGAAGTAAGATGTCACCAAATGGTAGGCATTTTTCATCTTCAATAAAATTTTACTAGAGACATGGTGCACAAAATTCATGCTCAAGTGGGGTCCATACGCCACCCACTTTCCTCCTCAGCCTTCCCTTACAGCTGCAGGCGGTGGGCCACCAAAGTCTGCTGGCTGGGGGGAGGGTTAGGGCAAAGGAAGTTGACCACCAGCACCAAGGAGGAAGCCAGCCCTTGGCCTCCCTGGGAAAGGGACTGCATCTGCCATCACCCACTCCTGGTTACCTATTCTAGCTTACCATCACCTCAGGTTGTTGGCCAGGGAGGTTGGTTGTGAGAGTGCACTGACCATTAGGAGGTAGTTCCTACATTGAGCATCTAGTGGTCAAATCATGGAAACCGGTCATTCCAGTTGGTTGGTCATAACAGTCACTTAGGCTTTTATATATTTAGGTAGATGGGATCAAACTTATATATATTTGGTCTATTGTTAAAATTATTTTTTAAAATATATTTTATTGATTTTTTTTTACAGAGAGAAAGGGAGAGTTAGAAACATCAATGAGAGAAACATTGATCAGTTGCCTCCTGCACACTCCCTATTGAGAATGTGCCTACAACCAAGGTACATGTCCTTGATCAGAATCAAACCTGGGACCCCTTGAGTTCATAGGCCGAGGTTCTATCCACTGAGTCAAATCGGTCAGGGTTATTTGGTCAATTGTTAACAGAAATGTTGTTATGCTGCCCTGACTGTTTATACATTCCACAATAAGTTTAGTTAGAAATTCTTAAAACATGATTAAAACTTTTTATATAAAGATGGTTTACATTGCCAAAACTAATTTGGCTCAGTGGATAGAGTGTCTGCCTGTGGACTGAAAGGTCCTGTGTTCGATTCCGGTCAAGGGCATGTGCCTTGGTTGTGGACAAATCCCCAGTGGGTGGTGTGCAGGAGGCAGCTAATCGATGTTCCTAACTCTCTATCCCTCTCTCTTCCTCTCTGTAAAGAATAAAATATATATTTTTAAAAAAGATGGTTTACATTATGCTTAAATATCTGTATTACTTAATAAGCATTATTTTATGAAGCCTTCATTTTCCTCAAAAAATAAGTAATTTCAGTCTAGCTGGTTTGGTTCGCTGGTTGTTGGAGTATCAGCCACAGACAGAAAGATCTGGGTTTGATTTCTAGTCAAAGGCATATACCTGCGTTGCAGGCCCAATTCTGGTCAGGGTCAGGGTGTGTGCAGGAGGCA